GGGTGCCATGGGGACTGTATTAGTTAGTTTTCTCATTACTGTGGCAGAATACCTGACCAAAGAAACTCCAGCAAAGACAGGTGGATTTTGCCTCATGGTTTGAATGTATATAGTTCACCACAGTGGGGAAGACAAGTTGAATGTAGAGTCTGCCATAGTGGGAAGGGCATGGTGGTCAGCTGTCTGTAGCTGTGGCAGCAGGAACTTGAGGAGCTGGTCACATTGTGTCCATAGTCAGAAAACAGAAATAAGCCAGTGGTGGTGCACACCTTTAATACCAGTACTCGGGAGGCAGAGGCAGGCAGATCTCTGTGAGTTCAAGGCCAGCCTAGTCTTCATAGTGAGTTCTAGGAAAGGCAAGAACACTGTACAGACAGACAGAGAGAGAGAGAGAGAGAGAGAGAGAGAGAGAGAGAGAAAGAGGAGAGAAATAAGTGCTGATGTTCAGCTCAATTTTTCCTTTTTATTTGGTCTGTGTTCCTAACCCATGTGATGTTACTATCCTAATTCATGCATTCATGGTGGGAATTCCCTCCTGAGTTAAACAAATCTAGAAACATCCTCAGAGACAGTTACTGTTCTTTTGTCGTGAAGAGACACCATGCAAGGCAAGACAGCATTTAATTGGGGCCTTGTTTGCAGCTTTAGAGGGTTAGTCCATCCTGATCCACAAGCAGTGGATGGGGTGTGGTGGAAAGCAACTTTACCTAGTGTGGCTTTTGAACCTCCAAGCCCACACCCAGTGACACATCTCCTAACAAGGCCACACCTCCTAACCCTTCCCAAACAGTTCCACTAACTGGCATCCAAGTATGCAAACATAGGATCCTCTGGAGGAGGCCATTCTCATTCAAACCATCACAGAGAGACACAGAGGTGTGTCTCCTGGGCAATTCAAACCTAGTCATCACAAGTCTACCCTTTGTCAACTGAACACTCAGATACATCACATTGAACCATGGCATCCCATCCCTGGTCTTCAAAGGCTCATGGTTACTTCATAACACATAACATATTTAGTTTATCTGTATAAGTTCCCCCAATTTTTTTAGTGTGTGTGTACATGCCATGATGTGGAGGTCAGAGGTCACCCTTCAGGAGTCCATTCTCACTTTCCATTGAGTGAGGGTTTCTCTGGTTGCTGCTGCTGCTGCTGTGCTCCAGGCTATAAAGCCTGTTAGCTTCTGGGTAGTTATCCTGTCAATGCCTCCCATCTCACCGAAGGAGCACTGGGATTACAAACATGGACCACCAGTTTCCATGCTTTACCTGGGTTCCGGAGATTGGACTCAGGTCATCAGGCCTGAATGGCTAATGCTTTTACCTCAAGAACCTTTTCCTTGGCCAATGATTTCCCACAAGAGTAATAATTCTAAAGTTGTTCAGAATCCTAAAGTCTGAGACTCAGGGCAGTCTTAGCTGTAAACCCCAGTAAAGTAAAAGAAGTTAAGTGATTCCAACACACAATGGTATATTGTGATGAATAACTAATACGTGGCCAGTAATGGTCAGGATATCTTTAATAAGTAAATGCCAACTGACAGGAAACCAGAGCGAGCCGAAGCAGCAGACAAAAGAGAGCCTTGGCTACCCCTTTAAACCTTTCCAATGTCACCTTGACATCACCTGATGGCCCTTAAGAGGGGTGGTTACAGTGTCTCCCTACAATTCCCCTTTTAGTCTAAAAGAGGATTAAAACCAGTGTAAAGTATCCAAAATTAACAATCATAAAGGGGAAATACAAGAAGATACAATAATCTGTTATGACACATCCTAACTATGTCTACATCTGCTAAACCCTAAAGTCATCTGAAAGAGGTGTCCAAGCCTGAAAGCCTCCTTCCAATCCCAACCATAAACATAGTAAGCTATCCCTAACTAGGATTACACTATCCTAGTAGACAATAATGGCAGATGGGGGTGTAGCATTCTCCAAGTTACTTCCTGCTGAAATGGGATGATGGGAGCCTCATGGGGTCCTGTGGGAAGACAATGTTAATATATTGAAAGTCTCTAATGGATTATATCCAATCCATGTTAGATGGGATTTGCTTGATTGAAGATCTAGGTTGAAATTCACAGCTTAATTGAAGTCAGTACCTGAAGCTCTGGTCGGAGTGTCAGTTGAAATGGAGTAAGTTGGATCCAGTGCAGTCTAGGAGGTATGGCCCAATTTCCTTCTGGAGCATCCAGGGATTGGTGTCAGGCGGGTCTTCATTGGCTGTGTGGGACTCAAACATAAGTGTTAGCAGAGAAATGTTTGCTTGTATATGTATGCATGCTGGAAAAGGCAGTCATGGAAAAATAATGATTATGAGACGGTGTACACCTTGAAGAGCAAAGAAAGAAAAAGACAGTCCTCAAATTCTTTTTTTTTTTTCTTACTCTGTATTACCTCAATTGGCTTCTTGAAATAATACAGAAACTCTAAAGTTTAGTTAAACAATGTGCTTGGATTTTAGAGGAGGAAAGCCAAATCCAACTCTAAATCCAGCATTGATTTACTTGAATAGGGACTAGAAAAATAAAGAGAAATAGAGTTATTTGAGAGAAAGTACTGTTTGGCCATTGAGGCAGCATGTTAGATGGGACTAGGAGTCAAGGAGGATTTTGGGAAATGTAGTAAAGAAGTGGTGATCCAGGCAGGAAGTGACATAACAGGGAGACTCATATTTAAGCAAGGACAAGCAGGAAGTGGTCCCTTCCCCCTTAGCTCTTCCTCCTGCTCTCTGCTCCGAGCCACCATGTGATCCCGTGGATGAGGACACCATCGGAAGGCATTCGATAAGATAAGTCTTATGAAATACATAGATTTATTATAATTAAGACTGAGCTAACAGATGAGAAATTCTAGTCATTGGCCAAGCAGCATTTGTACCTAATACAAGTCTCTGTGTATTATTTTGGCCATCCATGTGGCAGGCAGAACTCAAGCAGGTAGCAGAAAGATTTATCATAATAATGGTAAGGTAATTCTCATTTTAAAAGAAAAAAGGGCAGGGCAAGCAAAGCTTGGACCAAAGTAAGACTCAAACCCAACAAGACAAACACTATGTTTTGCAGTGCCATGCTTGGATTGGTGGTGTCGGTGGCATCATCTGGGTACCAGTAAGTCTTTTGTAGTCCCTTCTCTTCTCATTGTTACCTGTAGCACACATAGCATCTCTCATGAGCCTGCTCTACTTAGTGTCTGCAGCTTCACTTCATAGCCTTCCCATAGATCTGGTGTCTCCAGCATCCTGAGGGTTCCAAATACATAGGTTTGTGTGTAATGTCCTCTCAAGGGCGAGTACTCTTCCACTGACCTATATCTTGAGTTTCACTGTCTGCATTTCTATTGGCATTCTTGTCTTCTACAGTCTCACCAAAATGGTCCACTAAGCTCTGCTTATAGTGCTTTAGGCCTTCTCTATCCCATGGCTTCATACTTTCTATTCTCCTCATAAACCAGTTCCAAGGACCTACAAGCTACCCAGTCAGATTTATGACAGCAACATCCCCACTCCTGGTACCAATTTTGCTATGTTAGTTACTTCTTGCTGTGATGAAATAACTGGCAAAAGCCACTTAAGGGTTTATTTTGGCAGATAGTTTGTAGCTATTGTCCATCATGTCAGGAAGATATTAGTGAGAGTGATAGTAAGACCTCATAGTCAGGAAGCTTAGAGAAATTAGTACCGGCACTCAGGTCACCCCCCACATTTATTTAGTCTAGAACTCCAGCCCATGGTGCCATCCACATTCAGCGTGGGTCTTTCCTCTTCAATTAAATGTCCAGAGGTGTGTCTCCTGGGTGATTCTTCTGTTGTTTTTTTAGAGACAGGGTTTCTCTGTGTAGCCCTGGCTGTCTGTCCTAGAGCTCACTCTGTAGACCAGGCTGGCCTTAAACTCAGAGATCCACCTGCCTCTGCCCCTAAGTGCTGAGATCAAAGGCATTTGGCACTACTTCCCCCCTTCCTGGGTGATTCTAAATCTAGTCAAGTTAACAATGATTATTAACCCTCACAGAGATTTAGGTCACAATGTCATGGATATATCATAATAACATTGGTATATGTCTTGAGAGCCTTAATACATAGTGTTATGATGTCTTAGGGTCCTCATATATTTTATTTATGTGGTTTCATCATTCTGTGCATGAGATGGTCTGTTTGGGTCTCCATATATGTAATCATGTTTTAGTTTGGTCATATTTGTATATATTGGAGTATTAGGTAAAAGCATATGTTTGTGTATGTGATTGGAACATGCTTAGGCCACTAAGTGTTTCTGTCATAAATATGTCACTTACCATTCTTGACACACACACACAGAGAGAGACAGAGAGAGAGAGAGAGAGAGAGAGAGAGAGAGAGAGAGAGAGAGAGACAGAGATCCACACAGAGAGAGAGAGAGAGAGAGAGAGAGAGAGAGAGAGAGAGAGAGAGAGATACTGATTCCTACTCAGATTCCTTAGAGTAGACGTTACCTTGAGGAATTGGGTTAGCAGTTAACAGTTAACTGAGGCTGCCTTGCTCTTGCCAGCCATTTCTCGTTATACAAAGTGACCATGCCTGGCTCCAGTTGACATTCCATGACTGTGAGACCCAACAGGCAACCTGGCCCCAGCTATCCTGCCCGTCTATACTGCCCCTCATTTCCTTTCCCCACCCCAGCCAGTGTTGATTTGTGATTGGTGGGGGAGCGGACAGGAAAATGGAACGGGGGAGGGGTGCAGTGGGAGTTAATGTGCCTTCCTGGGGTCTTCTCTCTTCCCAGGCCACCCTCCAGGGCCCACTAAAAAAGCCCTGAAGCAGCGTTTCCTCAAGCTGCTGCCGTGCTGCGGGCCCCAAGCCCTGCCCTCAGTCAGTGAAAGCAAGTGCCTCTCCTATGCTTCTGGGGGCGGGACGTGTGTGTGTGTGTGTGTGTGTGTGTGTGTGTGTGTGTGAGAGAGAGAGAGAGAGAGAGAGGGAGAGAGAGAGAGAGAGAGAGAGAGAGAGAGAGAGAGAGAGGCGGGGGGGTGATGGGAGGTGGGGTAGGAAGGAACTCACTGGCTGGGTCTGAATGTGAGGCCTGTGGCTACAAATGAATATATTGTCAGATCATGAGTGTCTGTGGCACCCCTGGTCTGCAAAATGGCAGATCAGGGCTCGTATGTAAGAACTGAAGACCATGTGGCCATGGCAGGGTGACTTAGCTAGCTAGGTTGCTCTGCAACTCTGGCTTCTCTACTGTTTAGACCTTGGAATGTTTGTCACCTATGCTCTAACAGTGTGCCAGGTATAGATGGTGGAGTCCACCTTCACAGATGTCAGAGTGCTGAGGTTTTCTGTCCCAGCCTGGTCCTCAACTGAGTGGCCACCAATTTAGTAACCTCCTTTTGTCTATAGGTTCCATTTCCTTGGCTGAGCCTTACCCTCCTTATAAAAGCACACTGAACTTTGCAAGCTATATAAAGGCCCAGTCTGTAATTATTTGATGGTAGTTGCTTAGATGGTGGCACTCGGATGGTGCCACCCGGGGAGTTAATCCAAGAAGGGGCAGTTTGTGAGGAGCCCATGGCACCCTGGATGTCTGTGTTCACTGTGTCTGTGCCTATGCAGTGGGCCTGGGGTTCGCGTGTGGAAACACTCAAGTCTGAGATTTCCTGTGAGTGTGGGGCCAGGGGAGTATCTACAGGGCTTGGTCTTCTTGGTGACAATTCGCTCCCTTCAGCATTAGCTGCCCCAGCCTCCCTCCGCCCCCACAGACCCCGCCCGCTGGACCCAGGTGACTTATTGTCCTGGTTGGGGTGGGATGGGGGGGTACTTGCCTGGGGGCTGGACGGTGGGACTGAGGGTGGAGTCAAGATTGGGGTCTGAACAAAGATTGGCTGGAGCTGGGTGGGGCATGGCTCGGGCATGGCTGGGATGGGTGGGGCTTGATTGGGATTGGGTTGGATGTGGGCTCTCCCAGGCTGGGGCTGGGCCGACCTGAGCTGGTCAAGAAAGGCCCCTGCCTCCAACCCTCAGGAGCCCCTGGTCTCCATTCTGTCCTCTTTCTAAGAAGTCACGGCAAGGGACTGGCCTTCCCTCCCCAAGGCCCAGGGGCCAGTGCTGAGTCTAGACCTCTGACTCTGGAGCCAGGCATGGCCTTAACCCCAACAGACCTCGAGGCCGACCAGTGTCTTCTCCTCTGACTGCCTCAGCTCTGAGTGTGACAGGCTGGCCTTGGGTGTGGAAGCAAGGGCAAGGAGAAGGGGGATGGGTTAATTACTTTGAAGATTACTCAAGCATCTCAGGGGCCTGACCTGAGGCAAAGCTATCCCCCTACCACTCCCCGCAGACAGCGTGGAGGATGAGTTTGAACTGTCCACCGTGTGTCACCGGCCTGAGGGTCTGGAGCAGCTGCAGGAACAAACCAAATTCACACGCAAAGAGTTGCAGGTCCTGTACCGAGGCTTCAAGAACGTGAGTGGAGGGCCTAGCCAACTGGGCAAGGGCTGAATCAGAGAGGCCTGGCTGACTGACTGGCAGTCACCTGGAAAGTATGGCCTGGGTGCTTTGAAGAGGGAGATGGGCCACAGGTCCAGCGTCTAGCCTGAGGTTCAGGGCCCTTGGTGGTGGCAGGCTGGGCTTGTTTATCTGTACAGCGGGGAAGTCTTCTTGCCAGCTGGTACCAGAACTCTGTGGTAAGTTCTACAGAGGCATGGTGATTTTTCCTCCTCCTGGGAGTCTCTGGCCTGAGGGCCATGACTGGAAAGGAAGTCAGGTTTGTGTCTCTGCTCAGTCTGGTTGTCCCTACCCAGGAATGCCCCAGTGGAATTGTCAATGAGGAGAACTTCAAGCAGATATACTCGCAGTTCTTTCCCCAAGGAGGTGAGGAGACAGATGGCTGGGGCATGATGGGTGTCCATCGTTAGGCTGAGGTGGGAAGAAGGGTTCCGGAGGCCTGGGAATGCTGAGGTAGTGGGGGCCGGGCCAGCTGCAGAAACGAAGCAAGCACCCCTGCCTGAAGGCCAAGGTCACATTCCATGCTCATCCCCAGACTCCAGCACCTATGCTACGTTTCTCTTCAATGCCTTTGACACCAACCATGATGGCTCTGTCAGCTTTGAGGTGAGCTAGGAGAGATGGGTCAAACAAGCCTGTTTCCTTGGGCTGGGGGTTGGTGGTCAAGATTTCCACACCAAACCCAAAGAATGGGTTGGTAAAGTCCCCTCCCCACCCCCGCTCCTTTCTAGGACTTTGTGTTTGGTTTGTCGGTGATTCTTCGGGGAACCATAGATGACAGGCTGAACTGGGCCTTCAACTTATATGACCTCAACAAGGACGGCTGCATCACCAAGGAGGTGCGGGGCCACTGGAGGGCAAGGGGGCGGTGTGTGGGGTCACCAGTAAGGGGAAGAGGTCTGTCCTTGGCTGGAGGCTCTTAGGAGAAATCTCGTTTGGCTTCACAGGAAATGCTGGACATCATGAAGTCCATCTATGACATGATGGGCAAGCACACATACCCTGCCCTCCGGGAAGAGGCCCCGAGAGAGCATGTGGAGAGCTTCTTCCAGGTGCCTGGGTCTGGATGGCTGGGGGCCCTGGAGTGGAGGGACTTATTGGACCAGGGCCCAATAAGTCTCATTTCTAAGTCTCTCTCCCACTGTCCCCCTTGTTCTCTCTGCTTGACCACCTTCTTGCAGAAGATGGACAGAAACAAGGATGGCGTGGTGACCATTGAGGAATTCATTGAGTCTTGTCAAAAGGTATGGCCCTACTCTACATTTCCCTGGCCCCAACTCTAGGCCTAAATCAACTTTACCTCATCCCCTACCCCAAATCCCGTTCTTTCATGACCAAAGGAAATTTACCCCTTCCCCACATCAGGTCCCCATGTGTCCTTCTCTACCTCTGAATGTCCCCATCTCTAGTTAAATGTGTTTCTCTGTGTCTCTGACCAGCTTTTTTCTCTCTCTCTCCCGCTAATCTGCCTCCCTCACGCCATGTGCCATGACCACAGGACGAGAACATCATGAGGTCCATGCAACTCTTTGATAATGTCATCTAGACCCCCAGGGACAGGGGTTAGTGCATCCTGGGGGTGACCGTACTCTAGTCCTAGTTCAGGTGAACCTAACCCTTCTCTCCCCGGGTCTGTCCTCATCCTACCTGTACCCTGGGGGCTGTAGGGATTCCAGGTCCTGGGGCTTCAGTAGTCCAGATCCCTGAGCTAAGTGGCAAGAGTGGGCAAAGCGTATCTAGATGGGAGGGAGGGCTCCCAACTCCCCACAGCTCTCATCCCCTTCTCGCCTGGTACCCACCGCTGAGGACGCCCCTAGTGTAGGGACTGAGTGGTTCCTCCCCTCCCAACCCCACTCTAGAAACCACATTAGGCAGAATGTCTCCTGCTATGGTGCTTTCCCCACCCCTGATCTCATAGACTTACATGCTCTGTCCATGTCCCTGGCTGGCTTTTCAGCCTAGCCTTTGAGGGCCCTGTAGGAGGGGACAAGACAGTAGAGAAATGATGGCCTTGAGCCAGTGGTCAGGTCCCAGAAATTGGTTGGAGTGGAAAACAGAAAGCCTGGGCAGAATATGAGAGAGAGCCCAGGCAAGGCTGTCACTGCCAGGTTCTACGGGTCTGCTGTCCCGGGCCAGCGGAATATGAGTTCCCTGACTTCCCAGAAGGCCTTATGTCCTTAGCGATGTCCCAGAAATTTACCATACACTTCTCAGTGTCTTAGGAGAGCCTGGGTTCCAGATAGCTGGTTCATCCCGGGATCTCTTCATCCTTCTTGTACGGTGGGAGTGGTGGCCAGGGGAAGATGAGTGGAAGGTGTCCTGGGTGATACCTTTCAAAGTCCCATCCTGCCCTCCTGCCTGTCACCTGTTTTGATGGCTTCAGTTTCAATTCTCCATGGCCTCTAGATTTAGAGGCCCAGAGTGAGGCAGGGATTTTCCGGAACTCCTCCTAGTTCTGCCTTAGGGGATGGGAGGGCAAAGGCAGGCACTACATCTGAACCCAGTATGGGTCATTCATTGGAATCCTTGCCCAACCTCCACAATGCCCCAGGATGTCCTGGGTTCCCCCTTCCTCCATGTAGTCTACCCAGAGATGACCCTGAGCTTACCTAGAGGGCAGGGACCGTAGGACCCAGCCATGCTGCTGCCCCTCTTAATATACCTGCTTGTCTCATTCAGCTCACCTTCCCAGTCAGTTGGGGTGTGGGGGGAAGGCTTCCCAGACCATCAGACATTGTTGACTGCTTTGCATTTTGGGCTCTTCTACATATTTTGTAAAATAAGACACCAGATCCAATAAAACACAATGGCTATGCACAGCCTGCTGTCTTTGCTTCTTTATCCCTCCCACCCCACAACTGCCACACAATCCAGATGGCATGCCCACAGCCCTCTAAACTCCCAAGAGAGTGCTTGTCTTTTCAAGTATGTCCATGCCTTGGCACATAACCAAGACTCAGGCTGGAAATCCATCTGACCTTAGCCCCTACATGAATCTCCTGACTTGAGGACACACAGAAAGATGGGATGCTGTCCGAAGACTCTGTGTGCCAAGCAAGTCATCTTTTTTTTTTTTTTTCTTTAGCCATAAAATGTATTTGATTCCAGTTCTGGAAAATGGAAAGAGAGAATCCTTCCATTTACCATTCTAATCCAACATGAATGTGAATTTGGAAAACAGAAGCAAACACATACATATAAATATATGTGCATTGTATATTTATATATAAATAGTAGTGTGTTCTATATTTTATATGTATTATTTTATATGTAATATATGTGTATAATGCATGTATACATTTATATATTTCCAGACTTTGGCCTCATTGATGTTTGAACTTTTCTTGTTGTTTCTCTCTCTTCTTTTGAGAAAATGTTTCCAAACCAAGATGACCTTCAACCCCTCTCTTCTTGTTTCTACCTCCCAAACGCTGTGATTCCAGGCATGTCAGCGCCCCTGCTTCCCAGCCTCCCGGCTCCTCCCTTGCCAAATGTCTGTACAAGTCATCAAATACCTTTCCATGCCCCTGCCTGTGCTGCCTCACTAGTTGGCTAATAGTGTTTGGGTTGCTTCCAGAATTGTGTGTGTTGGTGGCCGGGAGACCTTCCAGCTCTGGGCTGTGTGTCAGCCACTGCCTGACCTTTCTCACAGTGTTTGCAACTTCACACTCCCTGCAGTCCTCCAGGCCGTCTTTCTCTGCAGCCCATTGCAGCTTCTAGTGTTGTGCCTCTTCTTTTGGACTGTGTGGCCCATGAGCTTGGCATCAGGCATAAGCTGCTTGGCAGCTTTGGAGATTCAGATATATTTCATTTTTAATTATTTTATGTGTGTCATAGTTAGGGTTTCTATTGCTGTGGTGAGGATGATGAAACACTGTGACCAAAAAGCAAGTTGGAGAGGAAAGGGTTCATTTGGCTCACACTTCCATACTGTAGTCCATCACTGAAGGGAGCCAGGACAGAAACCCAAATGGCAGGAACCTAGAGGTAGGTAGGACTTGATTCAGAGACCACAGAGGGGTGCTACTTAATGGCTTGTTCCTCATGGCTTGGTCAGCCTCTCTTTTTCTTTCCTTTTTCTTTTATTTTGTTATAATTTTTTTGAGGCAGGCTTTCTCTGTGTTGCTTTGGAGCTTGTCCTGGAACTCACTCTGTAGATCAGGCTGGCCTTGAACTCAGAGACCTGTTTCTGCCTCCTGAATGCTGGCATTAAAGACATGTGCCACCATTGCTGAGCTCAGCCTGCTTTCTTCCTTTCTTTCTTCCTTTCTTTCTTTCTTTTTTTTTAAAGATTTTACTTATTTATTATGTATACAGTCTTCTGTGAGGACTGAGAGGATACCAGATCTCATTCAAGGTGGTTGTGAGCCACCATGTGGTTGCTGGGAATTGAACTCAGGACCTCTGGAAGAACAGTCAGTGCTCTTAACCTTTGAGCCATCTCTTCAGCCCCCAGCCTGCTTTGTTATAGAACCCAGGACAACCAGCCCAGAGATGGGACCCTCCTCCATCAATCCCCAATCAAGAAAAATCTCTAGCCAGGTGCAAACCTTAAATCCCAACATTTAAGAGACTGAGGCAGGCAGATCTCTTGAGTTTGAGGCCAGCCTGGTCTACAAGAGCAAGTTTCAGGACAGCCAGAGCTACTCAGAGAAACCCTGCCTCGAAAAACCAAAAATTTAACAACAACAACAAACAACAACAAATAGTCTTACCTTACAGCCCTTCTCCTGGAGGCATTTCCTCAATTATGGTTCCCTTCCTTCAGGTAACTCTAGCTGTGTCAAGTTTATATAAAACTAGCCACCACAACATGTACGGGTGTTTTGTCTACATGTATGTGTACATACCATTCACATACCTGGTACCTGAGTAGGCCAGAAGAGAGCATTGGATCCCCTGCAACTGGAGTTACAGTTGTGAGCCACCATGTGTTGCTGGGAATGGAACACTGGTCCTCTGGAAGAGCAGCCAGTGCTCTTGTCTCCAGCCCAAGATTTTTTTTTTTTAATTTATTATGTATACAACATTCTGCTTCCATGTATATCTGCACACCAGAAGAGGGCACCAGATCTCATAACAGAGAGTTGTGAGTCACCATGTGGTTGCTGGGAATTGAACTCAGGACCTCTGGAAGAGCAGTCAGTGCTCTTAACCTCTGAGCCATCTCTCCAGCCCTCAATGCCCAAGGTTTTTAATTCTAAGTAGGATCTGGGCCTCGGGTAGATTCTGGTTTGGTCTTTGTTTCTGAGCTGAGTTCTGTTGACAGATGTTGGATGTTTCAGGATGGGCGTTGTTTTGCAGGTGTTTTCATTTCATTGGTTTTTCCTACTTTGTTTTCCCCATAAGCACAGGGAGTAATTCTCTTTTGTTGCTTTTTGTCCTTAATGATTAATAGCTGTAGAAACTCACTGGCTTACAGCATAGGCTTCTTTCCAAGCTGCTTTTGCAGTGACTCCTGGCAGCTGGATCGATAGGGCAGTTTTCTTAGAGGATCCAAACCTGAGGATCCTGAAACTCCCCTCTTTCCCATCTGCAAAAGTGAAAAAAAGTATATCTTTATAATATATACCTTAATATATTAACACACACACACATATATATTTTGTAATTGGCATACAAAATAATAGGGCTTTATGGTATTTTCCTTTTTTATGCCGGTTTGTATGTGTAATTGTGAAGGGGGGTATAGGCTCTCCTGCATGTGCCTACATAGACCAGAGGTCAATGGTCAATGTTTGAGCGTCTTCTTCCAACCTATTTTTTTTTGCGGCAGGTTCTCCCACTGAAAATGCAGCTCGCTTATTCAGTTATCGCACAAGCCCCAGGGGTTCACCTGTCTTGCCCTGCCCAGTGCTGGGATTACAGTACTTGCTTCCTGTGTGGTTGCTGGAGGTCAAGCTCAGGCACATACTTTACCCACTGAGTCATCTTCCCCAACCCTGCTTTTCATGTCATTGCACCCTGCTCACACGAACCCTCTCAGCTACCTTGCCTCTCCCACCTCGCTGGCCTCCCCTTTCCATCCCATAGCCTCCCTTTTGCTTTGGGGTGTGTGTGTAAAACTCTAGACCCTGCATAGGAGTGGAATTGTTTGCTATTTTTATATTTCCTCCCCTCCCACTTTTAAACTTTCTTTTATTTCTTGTGTCTTTCACATCATGGATTCTGACCCCTGCCCCTTCATATCTGCCCTCTGCCCTTGCAACTTCCCCCCAAAATATATAACTTTCGGGAGGCAGAGGCAGGCGGATCTCTGTGAGTTTGAGGCCAGCCTGGTCTATAGAGCAAGTGCCAGGATAGGCTCCAAAGCTACACAGAGAAACCCTGTCTTGAAAAACTAAATTATCTCTATATATCTTAAATAAAATTTAAGAGGAAAAAAAGAAAAATCTCATCATGGAAGCTGTAGTGTAACCCAGTGAGTCATGCAGGAAACCCTTTTGTCCATATGTCTTTATTTGCAAGTGTTCATCGCACAGAGTCATTGGTCTGGTTTGAGGGCTCTGGTTTCTGCTACACTATTGCTGCTGGGCCCTCAGTGGAACTCCTCTTTGTTATCCTGTTGTTGCCCTGTGTGGTGGAGATCCTGGAGCTTTGGGTCTGCAGGACCGGCCCTTCATGTGCTCCAGAAGATCACAGATTTTAGTTACTCCGAGAACGATGTCTTTTGAGAAGTACTTTCTCCCTCCATCCATCCCTGCCTGCCTGCCTGCCTTTAAGTGAAGCCGAGATGGGATTATTAAAGAGAGTTCAGGCCAGTGAGCTGGCTCAGCAGGTAAAAGTGCTTGCTGCTAAGCCTGCTGACCTGAGTTCCCTCTGTGGGACCCACATGGTGGAAGGAGACCCAACTCCCACAAGCTGCCCTCTGCCCTCTGCCCTCTGCCCATGCACATACCCATCCATCCCAAATAACTACTTTTTAAAGGGAGAGTTTAGCATAGGTCTAAGCATGGGCTTAAGAGAAAGAGGAGAGTACAAACCCAAGAGCATGAGTGTGGGTTTCAAAGAACCTTAGAGTTCCCTTCATTTTCTAACAGAAGTTCCTTTGTGTGAGTGCCCGGTGCTGCCTCTGTATCTGCATCATCTCAAAGGTGTTTATATGTTGTAAGGAGCCTTTCTCTGTCCCACCAGCTCCCACATAATGACACAGAGACTTTAATTATGAAAGCTTGGTGTATAGCTTAGGCTTATTTCTAATCCTCTTATAACAACCCATTTATATTAATCTGCGTTCTGCCACATGATTCATGGCTGTTACCTCTCTGCATGCTCTGCATCTCCTGGGCATCTCCACCTTTCTTCTCAGAGTCCTTTCGGTCCCCAGAAGTCCTCCCTAACCTTTTCCTGCCTAGCTATTGGCTATTCAGCTCTTTATTAAACCAGTCAGAAGAGGTCTTGGGAAAGACACATTTTGAGAGTGTAAACAAAAATTCTATAATAATAACTTAGTGAAAATCACAATAATGGCACAACACAGCTTGGAGAAGATGCATATGTACACTGGAAGGCTATTCCTCAAGATTCTCTTCCCAGGGCTTGAGGTGACTCAGCAGGTAAAATGCTTGCCTCCAAGCCTAATGAACCGAGTTGGATCCCTTGGGCCCCACAAGTTGCCCCCTGATCTCCACATGCCTACCATGTCACAAATTCATCTCTCCAGGGGCTGGAGAGATGGTTCAGCAGTTAAGAGCACTGGCTTCTCTTTCAGAGGACCAGGGTTCAATTCCCAGCAACCACATGGCAGCTCACAACTGTAATTTCAGTTTCAAGGGATCTGACACCCTCACACATACATGCAAGCAAAACACTAGTGAACGTAAATAAGTAAATAAGCTGGGTGTTTGTGGTACACGCATCTAATCCCAGCACTTGGATGGCAGAGGTTGCTCCCCAATACCGTCACAGAGACTTATTATTGATAATGAAAGGTTGGCCTTTAGCTTAGGCTTGTTCCCAGGTACCTCATAAAAATTTACCCACTTCTATTTTATTAATTTTTTGGTTTTTTGAGACAGGGTTTCTGTGTGTAGCTTTGGAGCCTGTCCTGGAACTCGAGCTGTAGATCAGGCTGGCTTCAAACTCAGAGATCCACCTGCCTCTGCCTCCCAAGTGCCACCAACACCCAGCTTCTAAGTTTCATTCTTAAATTTACTTAGACCCAGAAGGATCATTTTATTAGCACTTGGGAGAGAAACAGGACAAACTGTAGGGTCCTTAGATCTCTCCAAATGACCAGAAGACACTCACCAGATATGCAATCGTAGAAGGCAGCTTTGTTCTTGAGGAAAAACTATCAAGCTGGGGCCCATCCCAAATGGCTTCCACCCTGGGAGAGGGTAAGGCAGTCCCTTTGAAGCCTGCTGAGGGAATTCCAGCTGTGGTTACGTGCACTGTGACGTGATTGGGTATAGACCCTTACTATACAGGAGTCATTTTATGATTGCCTCATGACATCTGGTCAGCAACTATGGCTGTGGTGTCAGTGGTCTGTCTGCTGTGTCAGGGATCTGTCTGACTGAAAACAGCAAGAGTAGTTCCTGCTTGTGGCAGGACAGGACCTTGATTGGCTACCAGACTGGACATACTTCCCGAGGGTCTGGTTGGAGCCAGACATGAGTCAGCATAGGTGGGGTAATATGTGGCAGAGGCCTGAGCAGACTGGCTCCTCGGGAAACAAAGCAAAACAAACCCACCTGGCCCTGGTCCCTTCACAAGCAAGCTGAAATCTTGGCAGCTGCCAGGAGGAAGGTGATGAGGAAGAAGGTTTTGAGTTAGGGTCAGTGTGGTGGTTTGAAAGAAAATGACCATCCAGAGAGAGTGGCACTATTAGGAGGTGTGGCCTGCTTGGAGGAAGTGTGTCACTGTGGGGGTGGGCTTTGAGGTCTCTTTTCTCAAGCTTCACTCAGTGTGACAGTCAACTTCCTGACTTCCTGTTGCCTGCAAGATGTAGCACTCTCTGCTCCAACACCGGGTCTGCCTGCACGCTGCCACGCTCCCCTTCATGATATGGACTGAACCTCTGAAACTCTAGTCAAGCCACCCCAATTAAAAGTTTTCTTTGTAAGAGTTTCGGGGGTCATGGTGTCTACTCACAGCAATAAAACCTAAGACAGTCAGCAATGGTGGTCTGCAAACTGTAGAAAGGGGGGGGGACCTTCCAAGAAAACAGAAAGCCAGGGGTGTTGAGGCAACCATGCTTAGGACAGGCTTAGTATTGAAGACCTGTATGTAGCTGCCCTGAAGGCAGGCCTCCTGGAGCTGTGTTGACTCTTTAAGGCAGTGTTTCTCAACCTGTGGGTCTCGACCCCTTTGGGGGCTCCTTTCACAAGGGGTCACCTGAGACCATCATAAAACACAGGTATTTATATTATGATTCATAACAGTAGCAAAATAACAGTAATGAAGTAGCAATGAAAACAGTTTTATGGTTGGGGGTCACCACAACAAGAGGAACTGTATTAAAGGGTCACAGCATCAGGAAGGTCAAGGAACCACTGACCCATTTTCTTATTATATCTACAGGTCAATCTGTTTTCCCCAGGGGTGGTCCTGGCCAGGTGATTGTCAGGCCCAATTAGATCCCCCCCCCCTTGTTTTTCCCCTTAATTTTAAGCTCAAGGACTATTTTATTAGTTTGAAACAACAACAACAAATAGAAATCAGGGCAGGCAAGGTGTAACTCTCTGCAGCTACTGGGAGGAAAACAAGATGGAGAAGAAAACAGAGTCATTGCTCTTTAAAGGCCAAGAAAGCTGGCAGTTTCCTCAGTGGAGGCTGTCAGGGGGTGGGGTGGGGTTGCGGGCAAGGAGCTGCATGCAAGGGAGGAAGGGAGGCTTCAGAGTGTTCAGAGTGTCAGGGCAAGCATGCTTAGGACGGCGCTGGTATTTGAAGAAGAGATAAATAGGAAAGTGATGATCAGCTTCCCGTTGGATTAATTCTGAGGGAGGAGACATTAGTATATAATGTTCTAGTTCTTGGGGCAGAGCGGAATGCAATGTTCTATGCAAGGCCAGAAAGTCTATTCTTTTGACCTGGAGAAAGTAGCTTTCCCTAAAAGGGCATCAACAGAGTTCTGAGGCCTCTACCTTCTCATATGGTATTTTATATCTTAAAAAGGTTCGGGGGCAGGGGGGAGCTGGAGAGATGGCTCACTGGTTAAAAGCACTGACTGCTTCTCCAGAAGACAGTGGGGTTCAAATCCCAGCACCCACATGGCAGCTAACACTGTAATTACAGTTCCAGGGGGACCTGATACCCATGGCAAAACACCAATGCACATAAAAAAAAAAAAAAAAAAAAAGGTTCTCGGTATGTAGCACATGTGTGCCACACACACACACACACACACACACACACACACACACACAATGTCACATGTGAGGGTCAGAGACAATTTGCAGGAGTCACTCACTCCTTTCACCACATGAGCCCAGGCACGTTTACACCCTGCACCACCTCACCTGCCCTGGTGTTTTGATTCTTTAGAAGCAGTTGGGACATATCCAGTTCTAGTGTTGCCAGGGAAACGAGGTGGGATCAAAGCTGATTAAGCAGTCTGGGTAGCCAGGCTGACCCAGAGCTCAGGGTCCTCTTGCATTGCTTCCCCAGTTGCTGGGGTTACAGGTGCAAGCCGTCGTTCCCAGGTTTCAGCTTTCCCCTTTTCAGCTGAGACTAGCTCAGACTAGTTCAGGCTCTGTCTAGGAAGTTTGTGGGACAACGTTAGACTGGACTCAGTCCCAGGACTCTGTCTAGGGTGGCCTTGAACTTAAGATTTGTGTGTGGCTGGGTATGATGGCACATGCTTAGAACCCTGGTACTCGAGAGGCACAGGCTTGAGGAATCACAAGTTTAGGGCAGCAATCTACAAGTTGTGTTCTAGGACAGCCAGGGCTACAGAGTGAGACCTTGTCTCACAAAAACAAACGGGACAGGGGGAATTGCTCATTTGGTAGTGCTTGCCAGGCAAGCTTGGGGACCTGAGTTTGATCCCAAAGTTTTTTAAAGAAGGTTGAGTTATGATTTATTTATGTGTATGTGTGGGTGTTTTATCTACATATATGGCTGTGCCCCCACGCACATGTCTAGTGCCTGTGGAAGTCAGAAGAGGGCATTGGATCCCGGGAACTGGAGTTAACGATAGCTATCAGTCATCATGTGGGTGCTGGGAATTGAACCCAGGTCTTCTAAAAGCAACAGGTGCTCCAACTGCTGAGCCATCTCTCCAGCCCCATAAGCTCCACTTTCAACATATTAAGTTTGATCATCCTAGGTCTTCATGAAGTGTGGAACAGGCTATTGCCAGGAAGGTGTTGGCGCTCAAGGGCAAAGTTCTGCTAACATAACTCAGGAACCTCTGCTTGAGGGGGGGCTCAGAGCCACAGAAGAGGCTCTAGCATAAGCTGTGGTGCCCAGGATCTAGAACTCCTGTAGAGAAGGAGGGGAACTCCTGAACCTTCTCCCCCAGCCTGGGTGTTGGGATCACACACACACACACACACACACACACACACACACACACACAATAAATGATCAAATGAAAAGTCCTGGATGGGGCTGGCCATGGCTCAGCAGTTAAAGGTGTCTTGCCCAGTCAGAGCTGTCAGAGTTTGATTCCCCGGGATCTGCAAAGGGAAGGAGAGAACCGACTTCCACAAGTGGTCCTCTGACTGCACCAGGACCATAGCATGGAAACCCATTCAAAATAAATAAAAATACAAAGTCCCCAAAGTGTTTGTTTAGCATGTACAGGGCCCTGGGGTGGATACCCAGCACTGCATAAACGTGGCATGACAGTTTGTCTGCAATGCACACCCCACCAACGTCCCTGAAGCTACAAGTTGAACTACCACGTTCAAGTATAAAATAAAACTACTGTCTTAATATTAAATATGAGAGGTTTGAGCCGGGCGTTGGTGGCCTTTAATCCCAGCACTCGGGAGGCAGAGGCAGGTGGATCTCTGTGAGTTCGAGGCCAGCCTGGTCTCCAGAGCGAGTGCCAGGATAGGCTCCAAAGCCACAGAGAAACCCTGTCTCAAAAACCCAAAGATAGAGAGAGAGAGAGAGAGACAGAGAGAGAGAGGGGGGGGAGGGAGAGGGAGGGAGGTTTGTTCCCAAACTGAGGCAGACCTTTTAGGGAATATAAATGCCAAGAGCATTCTTGAGAGCACTGCAGGAAACTCTGAGAAACACAGCAGGGGCCAAGCCCATAGAGGCAGGCAGGCTTTTCCGGGAAGCTGATGCTGAGCCTAAAAGGAGCGTGCCCCTTGCACACACTGCACACTCCCCATCGCCCTAACAAACCCACTTTTCACCCCTCTCCTACCTTCATCAGACTCCCCACCCCACTATGTGCTTGGAATAGTCTTTCGCCATTCGCAGTCCGGCGTGAAATCGCCGCGGCCTCTCCCCAAACAAGGAGTTACCTCCTCTGACTTCCCGAAACAAATGAAGTGGTACATCAAGCAGAAACTGTGCGTACCAGCTTGTTTTAACCACATTATGAGGTCATAATGGTCCCACAGCCTAGGATGAGGCCAATTCAATAAACAGTTGCCTGCATAATTTAAAACGGGTTAGCTCCGAGGGAGGACTAGAAGAAAATGACTCAAAACAGAGGGGTGAGCTGAGCTGCTTGGCTCCCCTAACTAGGTCAGTGTTTCCTACCGCTTTAAGACCAGAGGCGTCGCCCGGGCGCCTGCGTACTGCGAGTACAAACGCCTCTCTCCCCTCCCCCTTCCCCTCCCCCCCG